TTTATTCAACTTTAGAAATTACAAATGCGTGCTCTAGACGCTCACAAACTACGCCGACCCGGCGGTTAAAATAAAAAATAAGAACCTGAAAAGAAATAATAACAAGAGACTAACTACGAGGCTCTCCAAACGTAACTAACCTCACCGCGTTTTACAATACCGCTGCTAATTCAGCAAACTTTGAATATCACGTTGAACGATTAACAATTGGCCGAGACAAGCACACAGGCCGAAACGCGTGGTTCTTCAATTTCTGGCTAACGACCTCCGCGCTCGTGAAGTAAGAACAGCACATCCGAACTCGTTTCCTTTCTATTTAACTCGGAATACTTCTGCTGATAATTTGAATCCTTGCGCGTTCTACAAAAATTTACAAATACTCTGGCAGTGGCAGTTCCAGGGGAAAGTAAGGCTTGACAGGAAAGATAGTTTAAACTTAAAATAAATGTTATTTAAAATAAATATAAACCCTACAATAAATATAGAAGATTACTTGCTGGGCCGGTGAAATGACAAGAGCTGGATTCGTTAAAATCATTATAAATTTTTATCCTTTTATATCAATTATTTTAGGCAGTTGCCCACAAAAGCAGCTAGTTGAAGCAGAAAATTGCGATATTTCAGAAACTGATACACAGGTAGATATAAAAGTACAGCAAGAAGTTGATTGAGTTAGGATTAAGCTTAAGCGATATATCCTAAACACGTTTTCCCCTCAACTGCTTAAACGTTTTATATGTATTATTTCTGGACGTCTGTGCTTGTCGGTTTCGATATAAAGAAAACTTGTAGACATTTTTGGAAAATTGCTTCCACCACTGATACAGTTTCCTCATAAAGAAATTATACGCCAGAGAACATTATAAAATAAAGAGAAAAGAATTAAAAATTTGGGGCGTACTCCTTGTATTTATTAAATTATACACAATTTTTGCTTGATTTTTAACTTAATTAACCGATTCCTCTAGGCAAGCCAAAAATGACATTTAAAATTGTAAATTTTGAAATTAAATATCCCGGTCAGTTTTTGTCATACGGGGGGGTCAAATTTTCTGTACTTTTAATTTTTCATAGCGAGTACAATAGCCTACCAAATATAGGAACCGGGAAACAACATTAAAAGTTAAATTTCGTAATTTGTCCAAACTTATTTTTTAAACTTGTAATTGCCGAAACAGGAGTATTTTCATTATTTACAACACTTCTGGAATTGGAAGTATATGATTAAGACCAAAGATTGCGAAACAAAAGGCCTAGTATGGACTTTAAAGCAGAATAAGAGGATGGGATATATATATATATATATATATATATATACATGCTTTTGGTACTGCCAATTACAATAAAAAAGGAGTTGCACAGTTAGATGTTATAGCAGTCCCATGTACAAAAACATTCTATGGCTAATCGCTTTTGAGTTATGCGAAGTACTTACCTATCGACCTCACGAATAAAGCCATTTACTGTGATTACCCCATTACTGTTTTACCCATTCTCAACAATCGGCTTGGGAAAAAAGGTTTGGTTTGCTTTATTGAATTATGGCAAAGCACACTAGGGCTATCTGCCTAAGGGGAGGGATGCCTTCGTTTAGGACTTTCTAAGGGAAACTGGCTCGTATACACGTTACACATGAGGAAAACCACGAAAACGCCCATGGAGCCAGCCCGTTCGCGGGATTCGAGCCTCGAACCGAACTACCAGTTTGGGAAAAAAAAAAAAAAGTCCTTATTTTGTCCGTAAGTACAGGCGTCAAGCAAAACAATACTTAATGGATTCGGGAGCTGTCAAAAGGGATATTTCCGTTGAAATTTGATAATCAAATGCTTTTGCGATTACAAGACTTACTTTACTTTTTAAAAGGGAGTAAATGTGTTTGCGGATGATTTTTCCAACAAGCCGACATTTTCCAAATAATGGTCTCTCCCGTTTTTGTTTTAAGAATATCGACAGAATAAGGAGCCCGGATAATCTTCTATTATTCTTCCTTCAAAGTAATTTTCTGTGCAAACAGTAAGCAGCTGCTTACTATGAATATATGCCACTTTGGCACAAGTTTAACAATTGCGAAAGCTGAAATTCTTCCTCTGGAAAATAAATCCATACATCGCCTAAAGGGTAATCAATATTTCGTTTCTGACAGAAGTGACATCAGCGAAGTCCACCTTCCTACTGAAAATTGTAATAAGTTGGCAGTCATTGATTTTTAGAGGTTTCCAGTAATCTGATAATTTTCAGAGCTGCTGGAGATAAAATATCTTACTGTCCATTTTGCGGTAAGGAAACTGGACATGTATGTACTATGAAATTCATTTCGTTCGTTTATTTGCTTTGTATACGTTCATGTTTTTGTTCTAGACTAGAAGAATAACTTGAGAGTGAGAAAATTCAACTCGAAGCCAATAGTGCTCAATTGCCATTATTATGTAATAAAGAATCTGTGTGTATGCATTTTTTAAGTTTTTTTACTATTGTTGTGATAGAACTGGCTAAGCAGTTTTGAACACAAATATTCATCTCCCAATTTTGAATTTTTGACTCGAAGCTCGAATTTCGTGTTGTGAATCTGGTATTTTATTTTATTTCATACTTTCTGAGAATTCAAGAAATTTCTGTTTTACATAATAAACGATTTAAATGGAATAAATAAATGCTGTTCGAAATAAAACCTTTTTTCTGTGTGTTATTTTTTGCGCTAGTGTGTTGCCATTCGGCAAAACATCAGATTCCTTTCAAAATTAATAACCAAACTCTATTATTTTAAAGCAGTTTGTTGACAGTGCCAGGAAAAAACATACTTACGTCTTCTACGAGTCATATGCTGCTAGTCAGCATAGCGTAAGCTATTTAAACTTTCAAATTTAATCAATGGGTTTAATTTTTGGTTTGTTTGATTAGGCACCTTAGGCCACCCTATGGCTATCTGCCATAGGGTGGCCTAAGGGAAAGGATGTCTTTGTGCAAAACTTTCCAAGTAAAATTAGCTTCTATTCACTTTACGCACGAGAAAACTATGATAACGGCCGTGCAGCTAGCCCGTTCCCTTGGAATCGAACCCAAATCGAATTACAAATGTTCAGCGACTTGAAAGCTCTGCCACTGAACGCTAATCAGTATGTTATTAATTAACAAACTAAGGAACTGAAAAGCAATAAACACAGTTCTTAAGAATATTTTTTTTTTGACATAAACAAAAATGCACTTTACTGGTCATATATCTGATTGAAAATATTAAATATTTCTATTACATTACACTAGCTACACTAACTGAAATCATTATATAGTTTTATATCCATGTATGAAGTACTGCAAAGAATCGTATTTAGACGGAAATATCCATTTTGATAGTTCCCGAACCCATTTTGACAATTTCTTTGCTTGTGAGCTTTGTACGTACAGTCAGAATGAAGGACTGTTTTTTTTTTCCGAAGCGGCTTGTAAAATGGATTTAAAATGTGTTCAAAATGGAATTTTTCGTGACGTTTATACGAATGTACGTATGTATCTCGCATAGCTTAAAAACGATTAGCCTTAGAGAACCAAAATTTCCTTCCCCAGCCTTTTTTTCAGTCTTTAGTTATAGTCAAATACTTCCAATTGCAGAAGTGTTTTAAAAGACGAAAGTATTGATGTTTTGGAAATATCAGTTTTAAAAAAATGGATCGATAGCGAAATCGGGAAAGTTTTATATTCGTTATGGAAAAATAAAAGTACAAGAAATTTGACTCCCGTGCGATAAAAATTGACCAGAATATTTAATTTAAAATTTTGCAATTTTTGATGTCATCCTGAACTTGCATCGAAAGGGATCGGTAAATTAAGTTAGAATAATTCAAGAAAATAATTTTAAATGAAGTACAGCAAAAGGTTTATAATTTAATGGTCCGTATATGTGGCTATTATGTGTTGATATCAGAGGTATTCATTTTTAGAAAAGGTCGATCGAAAAGTAAAGTACAATCTACTGCCACTCGGTAATGATAAGTATCGGAAAGGAAAATTGTGTAAGTAAATGTACTGGTCATCTAGTTCTTTAGAAATGTCGCTCATCATATGATCCATTTGCTTTACTGCATCACGACCATCTTTGAATCTATGACACGATTGCACTTTCAATCCATCGTGCTCTCAGAATACAAGTGAAATAGTTTCATTCATTCATACTTAAAGGCTCTAGAAAGGATTCTGGGCAACACCCAGAGAATCTTTGCAGAAGATTGTTACACACGGTCTTCCTGATTTGTGTATCTTCCTCTTGAAGAGACGTGTAACCTAGCGAGAACAAATACGGTACTACTATAAAAGATGTATTCATTTTCAAAACTCCATATATTCCAAAGTATTACACGTAGAAATATTAGTGATATTTGAAAATAAGTGCAAACTTACCAGTTTTGTGTACTAAGATTGTGATTATTATAAGTTACCTGGATATAATTGAGGTCATTTCCGCAACTGGCTGCGGATGCTAATTGTTTTGTCTGCCACAAGATGGGTCATCCTCTCATATTCAAATTCGTCGATACTTAGCGATAAACTTCCCCATCCCTGCATTGGACTTGTTAGTGAGATAATCTCCCTTAGAAACCCAGGGCACCTAATTTGAAGTATTGTGGCCTCTTCCTTTGGAAGGACCTTAAGAACCTTGATTATGTAGTATCAAAAGTATTATGATAAACTCAGAGAACGGGGCATGATAACCATCGACAGGATGAAATATGTGGAACGAGTGCAACTACTACCTAGGCGTGTGTCATATATAGAACATGCGTAGAGTGTGCAGAAAGCTTGATGAGATTGCGGTTATTTTCATGCATCACTCCTATTTTTACATGTAATTCTTTTGAATATATGGGCTTTTAAAGTAGCCCTACCTATGTGCTCCATAATCTGTCTTGTGCGGATTCATTTGTCATTTTGGATGAGTTCCTTAGTGACTGATGCGTTTTCATCCGTTGGAAGGCCAAACATCTAAAGTCATCGACACATATTGCTTAGATTTATTGCGTTGTGCCCAAAGACTGACCACAGCCTACTTTGTTGATGTGTCCTTTGGAAGTGTCGTCCATCATTTCCAAAGGATACAGTTGTTGCACAGGACGGATCAATTCACCTGCAGCTGTTTTCACCTTTTCCACTCTAACACAATTATCTTGACTCTGGAATAGTTCAATAACTCGACCCAATGGCCAGTCCAATCTTTTTTTGTTGTGACTTCCCACAAGTACCACATCTCCTAAATATATTTGTCTTCGAGTAGCTTTATTATCTATGGACTGAATTAGGAGAGTCAAATATTCGTCTCTAAATCTTTTTCTGAGATCTTGTCGTAATTTCTGCTGATATATATATCTCTTATTGATATTGACTTCATCTATATGGTCTAAGTCCGGAACTCCCACCATTCTTATAGTATCCTGAATGAACCTAGAGGGTGTTAAAGGCATTAAATCTTCAGGATCTTCAGACAAATAATTTAACGGTCTTGCGTTGATTACAGCTTCCGTATCGCAGAGAATGGTACACAGCTCCTCATATCTCAAGCAGGCTCTTCCGAATATTCTTCTCAAAATTTTCTTAACCATTTGAATAATACGCTCCCACCAACCCCCCACCACGCAGCTGTGGGAGGATTGAACTTCCATGTAATCTTCAAAATATAACATTCTTGCATAATTTTGCTCCATTCGAATGAAAGAAAGAGGTTGTTCGTCTCAACAAAGTTCGTACCATTGTCACTATACATAGTTTTTGGTCGTCCACGTCTGGCTATGAACCTTCTGAAGTCCAACAAAAATCTTCGGTGGAAAGTCCTTGTATCAGTTCAAGATGTATGGCTCTATAAACAGCACAGGTGAATAAAAGTATCCAGCTTTTCTTTCCATCCTTTTGATGAAGAGGTCCAGATAAGTCTACTCCAGTTACTTAAAAATCCACAGTGTCTCGGACCCTATCTTCAGGCAGTGGGGCTGGAACTGTTTCGATTTTTTTTTTTTCTGCATTATATCTTTTGCATCAAATGCATTTTGCGATACGCTTTGAACTGTTTTGCGTCCTCTTAAAATCCAAAACCGTTGACGAATATCCGTCAAAACAATTTGAACTCCAGCGTGTGAAAGTACTGTATGTCTTTCGAAAATTAACTTTTCTACAATTTGATGATCAGAAGGTAAAAGTATGGGACACACGAAATAATCTGTATCATCTGTTCTAAGGATTTTTGTCTTCAGTCTCATTAAGCCTTCTTTATCAGTGAAAATTCAAAGAGTTTTCAACTTGGATTTTGTATATTCGTTTTGGAAAGATTCTTTCTGAATAATTAAGAAAAGCCTTTTCTCAGCAGCTTCTATTTCCTGAACAGATAATTCTTCCTTCAGTTTGTGATCGAAATTTCTAGAATTATGAAAGAATCGCAGAATCCAAGCTATCAGCCGAATGATTCTCGAATATTTAGAAAAACGATGCAAGTACCATTTTTTGTTAGGAGCAACTCAGGTAGCTAAGGCAGTTATTCCCCTTTTTTCTTTCTTTAGAAACGTCTTTCATATTTAATTTCAGAGACGGGCCAATTTTCTTCAGGCTGTTTAAGCCACGGTGGACCCTCCCACCATCTGGATCTGAGCAGAACTCCAGCGGAACATCCTATGGATGGGTGGTGGTGTATTTAATTATGGCAAAGCACACTAGGGCTATCTGCCTAAGGGGAGGGATGCCTTTCGTGGAGGACTTTCTAAGGGAAACTGGCTCGTATACACGTTACACATGGGGAAAACCACGAAATCGCCCATGCAGCCAGCCCGTTCGCGGGATTCGAACCTCGGACCGAACTACCAGTGTTCAGCGACTTTACCGCTCGGCCGCTGGTGGGCCCTCTGGATGGGAGATCAGCCGGATTGTCGCTTCCTGGAATATGCTTCCATTGTTCCTTTGATGTTAAATTTCTTACCTCCTTCACTCGATTATGTACAAATGTTCCCCAGTTATTTTCATGCTTGATCCAGAACATAACGGTAGAGGAGTCAGTCCAACAGGTACCGATATTCCCTTTAAATCCATTGCTTCTTTCACTGTTGCAGTGAGACGAGCTTCGATCAAACATGCTAACAATTTTAATCGAGGCATCGTTATCTTTGTTAAAGGAGTCACTCTACTTTTAGCTTCAATCAAATGAACTTTTACCCCTTTCTCACATTCGCTTCGTAGAAATACGATTGCGCTATAGGCGGTCTTGCTCGCATCACAAAAAGTATGAAAACTCAATTTTTCTTCCGGGACATTGCTTTGGACATATCTTGGAATTTTGATCTCTGTTAACAGATGTAAATCTTCAAGCCATTTATTGAACTCCAGACGAATATCTTCTGGACAGGTTTCATCCCAACCAATCTTCAGGTTCCAGCTATTCTGTATTAACAGTTTCAAACGAATCGTTACTGGACACAGAATTCCTATAGGATCGAAGATGCTGTGAACTGTTTAAAGAATATATCTTCTAGTAATGGGTTTTTGCTTGAAATCAATTTTTTTCAAGATCACAAAACAGAACAACAGAACATCTTTAGTTTTATCCCATAATAATCCAAGAACAGGACAAGTTTTTTTTTTTTTTTTTGACATTCTTCACCTGTTAGACTGGAATGTTTCCAACCTCTTAAATCGAAACAACCCGTAGCCAGAATCTGTTTTGCTTCAAAAATGAATTTTTTAAGTTCATCTTGACTAATTACCGAAGTTATGCAGTTATCCACATAGAATGCATTCCTCAGCTTTTCTACGGTTTCAGGAAAATGGCTTTCATTTTGTTCCAAATGGTAATCTAGAACGACAGCTAGTAAGATATGGCTGCTCGTAAGTCCAAACACTACTCGTCGGTGACGATAAATTTTTTGTTTTCTTTCCTTGTAATCTTCCCACCATATGAATCTAAGAAAATCTTGGTCTTCTTTGGCCACAGATATCTGTAAAAAGGCCTTTTTTATATCCGAAACTACCAATTTCTTTCTGACGAAATCTTATAAGTAATGGAGGAATTTTTTCGATAAGATTTGGTCCTGTTTCTAGACAGTCGTTAAGTGAAAGTGAGTTCTTACTTCTACACGAAGCATCAAATACAGGGCATACCTTCGTAGTAGAATTTCCTTTAAAAATACCTCTATGAGGCAAATAATGACAAGGATTTCCCAATTCACTATCTGGTACTTCTTCGATGATAGTTTCCTGTTACCATTCCTTAAATACAGTTTTACAGTCATTGTATTTTCCTTCTTTAAGAAGTTTCTGAGTAGTAGTTATGCATCTTTTTTCAGCTATATCTTTGTTTTCACTTAACGTCTCGTACGTCTCTAACCAAGGTAGTTTGACGATGTAACGGCCATTTTCCTCTCTCTGAACGGTTTTTCGCAAATGCTGAAGATTGGACTGTTCCGTTTCTTCTTTAGTTCTTATTTCAGTAGGATCCTTTAGTAGGATCTTTCAGTAGGATCTAATTTTCACAAATCAGCCACAGAAGAATTTTTAATCAGTAAAGATGTCACTAAGTGGGATGAAGTTTCGTCAAACCTTTCTTTGGACATGTTTCCCATGATAACCCATCCTAAATAAGTTTCACATGCAATCAAATTGGATTTCAATGTACATATTCTTCCTGTAAATATATTACCACAATAATCTGGACCTATTAACAGATCAATATCAGGACAACCTTCTCCATAGTCAGTGAGCCAAATTTTATTTTCTCTTAACTTTTCCTTATAAAGGTCTCTTCTCAACCGCGGAATGTTGCCACAAATGATCTGCTAATCAAAAACCTTTATGTTACAGGAGAAGTCCCCTTTCAAAGATATCAGGTTAACGTCATAAACATAATGCTCCCTTTTATCAGTTGTAATTCCCCCAAATAGAGAGTGAATTAAGATTTTCTTTTCTATAGGCTTCAAACCTAGTTTCTTAGCTGTTTCTTTAAGAATGTAAGAATGTTGTGAGCCAGTGTCAATAAGTACACGTACTTGTAGCTCTTTCCCTTTAGTCTTCAGTTTCACTTGTAACGTTTGAAGCAATATTTCATCAGAAGTGCATAAGTTAGACGAACTAACATCGGACGACAACGTCTTCTCAGGTTCCTGTACGTCACCTTTCATCTTATTTCCAGGGAGTTCTGGGCACATCAAAATCGAATGTTTTTTACTGCAAAGGACACATTTGATGTTGGACTTGAAAAATTTAGAACGATGTCCAATTTTTTAAACAGAGAAAACAGGCCTTTTCATTTTTTTTTTTTTAAATTTCTTGTTTTTCTTGAAACTTGAGTTTACGTGCAGAAAAGCAATCTTTACTTTCGTGCAATTTATCACAAAATATACAAACATTTTTTCTTTTATTCTCTGTTGTTCCCGCAAACAAATCTGCTGCCGTCGGTGGATTACTAGGAACAGAACGCTGTATTTTTTCCTTCTGAAATTTGTGTTCCTTACTAACAGAACTGAAATTTGTGTTCCCTTTGCTAAACGAATACGTTCTTCCCCTTCAACTTCAGCTTTCAGGAACAATAATAATTTTTTTAATTTCTCCCCATAAGCATTTTCTTCAGAAGAATCGAATTTGGTGTTAACTATAGGGTTTCTTAACCAAACTCTAAAAATGTCTTCTGGAATACACGATTCTACAAGAGGGAAAAGTATACAGTGTCTCACAAAAGTGATGGGACACTTGTGCTTTACGAAAGGAAACTGTAGTAAAATAAATTATAAAAACATGTAAAAATTTTTTGTGGGTGTGTTTCATACTTAAATTTAGTAACAATTATAACATAACATACATTTTCTCAAAATATTAAAATATTAATTTAATAAAAATACAATTGTTTAGAACGGAGCAAAAAATGGCTCACATAAGTGATGGGACACTTACTTTTCCATCAAATATTTATCCAAAAATTTTACTTTTTAAAAGGTTTTAATATTTTGTTGGATTTCCTTTTACTTTTAAAACGTTATTTAATCTTCTTGGGATGGATTCGACTAATTGTTTTGTGATTTCTGGAGTGATTTTACCCCATTCTTCTTGAAGCAATGATTTTAATTGTTGTTTTGAAGAAATGGTGTGTTTGCGAATTATTGATTCCAATTCTTGCCAAATATTCTCTATGGGATGATTTAATTGTGGAGATTGTGGGGGTGTTTTTATTATTTCAGGACAGTTATACAGCAATCAGAGTCTAACGTTCAAAGCACTGTGCTTGGGGTCATTGTCCTGGTAGAATTTAAAATCGTTATGAAGGATCAATTTTCGTGCTGAAAATTTCAAATTTTGATTTCAAATGTCAATATACCGTACTGATAAATTATACTGTCAATAAAAACAAGATTACCAACTCTCCAGCGGACGACATACACCACCATACCATAACTCCTCCTCCACCATGTTTTACTGTTGGCACCAAGTTCTGTTTGCGAAATTCTTTCCTGGGTTTTTTCTACACCAAGATTCTACCGTCAGAACCAAATATATTAAATTTTCTCTCATCAGCAAATATAACTTCATTCCAGTAATCAGAGTTCTTATTTATGTTGGATTTTGCGAAAGCCAGTCTGAGTTTTCTATTCTTTTCACTTACGAAGAATTCTTTCCTGGCTGCTCTACCGTGATATCCAGCAGATCGAATTACTCTTCTAATAGTCTCAGGATTAAA